GCATTCATGAAAAGAAAAATAAAATCGAATTTTATAAATAAAGTTATTTTTACAAATGTTTTATTTTGTTTGTTATAAAGTATATGAATAAGCTAAAATTACAAAAAGTATTAAAAAAATGTTTGAATATAATATTAGCTTTTGTTTTTTTTTGTTTTTTAATGTGTGGTAGCTTTGCATAATCTTTATTAGAGGTAAAGTAAAATGTTACAAAATTACAAATTACAAAAGAGAGAGCACAAAAATTTCTATCTAGTTAATGAAACTAAATTAAAATCAATTTTATACTATTTCAGACTAACTTACTCAAATTAATTTAGAATATGTTTAACCATCTAGTATAGGGGATTTGGTTGCTACTAATCCAAAAATTTGACCAGTTTGTATCATATCTATAAGAGAAGAGAAAATAATATAGAATTATAAAAGAGTGAGAGTTAGACGAGAGAAGCCAGTATTAATAAAATGTGTTTTTGATTAGTCAGTAATATATTATTAAGACTTTTAAATTGTTTAATAGTTATGCATTGTTCAAACTAAAATTTTTTAATTTTGAAGAATGCATAATAGTAAATAAAAGAAAAGAGGCTAATTGTTAACAAGTTGTTATTAATAAGATGATAAGTTTTATTAAATAAGGAGGAGGTACAATTTTTTTAATAAAGTCAATAAAGTTAAAGAAGCCAATTTGATCATTTAAGAACTAAATATCCATAATAAGTAATTCAAAGAAATCTTGAGTATCAAAGGTTAATATTGTTAATTGTTATGTAAAAATATAATACTAGCTTTCTTTATGATTAATAAAAAAATAAATATAATGTTTATAAAATATAATATCAGATATACATGTATTAAATAGGATTTATAAAAAATATTTTTATTTTAAAATATATTTACAGATATAATAATATAATAACAATTTAATTTAAAGATATTTTTTATTAAATTACAAAAAAAAAATTGTTAATTTTTAGTTTTTTTTAAAAAATTCTATTAAACATTAAAATGAATTTAATTTCTTTATATAATAATTTAGTAATATAAACTATATTAATATTTTAATTCTTTTAATTTTTTTTAATATAATATTTATATTTATATTCTAATTTAATAAAATTTTAATAAAAAATATTAATTAAAAATTTAATTTCACTTTTTTGTTTTGTTTTATTTTATTTTTATTTTTTTTATTTTATTTTATTTTTTCTTAGTTATTTTAATTAATCTAAATAAATTTAAATAAGTAATAATTATTAAAATATTTCATCTATAAATAGTAGTTAAAAGATGCTGAAAATTTAAAATATAGTAAATAAAAAAATAATTTTTATTATAATTAATAAATAATTTTATAAAGCAAAAAAATATTATTTAAACTATTAATTAATTATTTATAATCATTTAAGTATATAGTTAAAAAATATCTAATACTATCTTTATTAAATAGTACTAATTTTTATTAATAAATACTGCAATTAAAAAAATGGTGTAATTGAATTACAATTAGTGACAATTAAATTTTCTTATAGCATAATTAAATTGCAATTCAATTGAAATTTAAAAATAATTATAGGAACTATTTTTAATGGTAACTAAATTTTAATTAATTAATTAAAGTATAAAAATACAAAAAAATTAATCTTTAAATTTATTATTAATAAATAATTAATAATTTTTAAGTTAATTAGAATTTAATAATTAAAAATATATAAAATAAAATCTTATAAATTATTTAATAATCTAAATCATTAATTTATTTAATAAAGTATTATAATCAATTAAATTAAAAAAATTTAAATATATAATAATATTGTTTTATCAAATAGTATAAAAATATAATAAATTTTAATAAATTCTTAAAAAAAAACTATTTTGAATAATTAAATAATTATTATATAAATTCAATAAAAAATAATAATATATAACATTTTATAAAATATAATTATTTTAAAATTTTTAAAAGAAATAGAACTTAATCACAAAATTTAAAGTTTCATCTCTAGGAAGAATTTAGTTGCCTATAGTTTAATCTCTTAAGGATCTTTAGATGCAAAATATCTTAGAGTTCCTTGAGAAAGATATTGTATTTACTGCTTAGTAATGTTAACATTTTATTCTAAAAAAAGGCAAAGAATATATAAATCATAATAATGAGAATTCTACTAACAATAAAGCCTCTAATCTTGAATGATATTCACATAAAGATAATATACAATATATCATATATCTCAGACTTAGGCTTTAACGTACTGTCAAGTAGATTTTTGATAATAGTTTTACTTAAAAATTTCTATTCTTAGCTAAAGCACAATGCATAACTAGAATCAGAAAGTCAAATATTGGAATAGTTTGCAAAGAATACTAAGTTCATATTGGAGAATATCGTTAAGAATACGCAAATATAATAATATATAGTAAATACTAAATTATTCAATTAAAATTTTGATTATTAATTGTGAGAGGTATCATGCGAAGATAAATTACAAAATTTAGAATATAGCTTGTGATACATAATGTTTCTATACATGTGACTGCAGATTATACTTGTCTAATTTTTCAAACAATACAAATTTATTTTAGCTTTTTCTTTAAGAGAGTTATCTTCTGTATATGGCCTGTCTTAATTATACTTAAAACAGGATCCCAGATAATTATATAAAATGTGAGGGAAAAAAAATAATAAAATTTGGAAAATTTTATCCCAAAAATTTTTTGATTTTGTATCTACTTTCATATATACTATATGTAAAAATTTAAAATTTACCTGAACTTTTACATACCAGATTAATAAAAAAATATTTTATTTATTTTTTCCTTTTTGATTTAAGCAATGCAAAATACAAGTTAAAATGTTATCATTAGAAAGTGTTTGATAAATCTGATATGCATTAGATTATAATGAATATATATTTGTATGTGATTTTTCTATTTGATATTTCAAATAATAAAGTATCTGTTTGGATGATAAATGACAAAAATATTCATACCCTTCATCACATTTTGAATAAAATAAATTATGCTGCAAATTCCTAAACATTTTGGTAAATATAAATGTGATTAGATTAACTTCATTTACAGGTTCTTCAGTATATGAATAGTTATTTCTAATTGATATACGATAATAAGTTGCAAGAATTTGTATAAGACATATTTCCCTATTAATTAATGCCAATGCAAATCTTCCCTTTTGTACTGGATAAATTGAAGAAATATTTGCTGTACAAATTGAAGGAACACAATCTAAAACTATAAAATATTTAATTAATTATTAGTAAAAATCAATAAAGTTAATTTATTAATTATACTTACTATAATTTGATAATTGTAATTCTCACAAATTTTTTAATATTTCATTAACATTTTTAAATCTTTTTCTAATATTCTATCATTCTAATTGTGTTTTAGGTAACCTTGAATTATTATTATTATTAGTAATTTGTGCAACCATTTTACTAGCAATAGATGGATTAATTTCTGATGAATTATAGTGATCTCTTTCTTGAAATTGTAATCAAATCATTTTTTTTGAAGTATAAGCTTTGTGATATTTTTGGCGTTGATGTAATAAATTAAAAATTATATCGCCATTGTTATTTAATATATTAATATTATTATTGTGAATTTGTTTCAAATTTGTATTATTAGATAAATTTGTTATCTACTCACAAGCATATATCAAATCCTCATTTATATTATTTTGTAAATTTAAACTTACAATATTTCCTATTATTTCAACAATTTCTGTTAAAATCTCCTCTCCATTTTGAAATTCTTTTGTTAAATTTTCTTCAATCGGTAGTATTATTTCGTCACTTGTTAAGAAATCAGTTAAAGATGACAATAATAATTCAGAATTTAATGTAACTACCATAAAAATACACTTTGCTAAAGCATTTGCTTCTTTATATGCATCATTAATAAGAATTCTAATTTCATCATCTATAGGCCAAATTTTTAAATTTAAATTTAGATCATTGACATTTCCTTTAAAATAATCACAAATATAACCTATTAAAATTTTTTAATATAAAAATTAGATATTAATTATAATAAAATACTGAAATTATTAAATAAACTAACTAACTCGAGAAGTTTTATATTCTGAATTTAGATTAATAATTGTGAAATTATAATAAGCATTTGTAATATGACGAATTTTAGGAATTAAATATATTAAATCAGCATATGTAAAATCTGATAAATGTTGCTGAGTCATTTCAAAAAAGTATTCACATGCTTCACTACCGTACATCAAAGGTAATAATGGAATTGAATTATAATATTCTCAATGTGTTATGATAAGTAGAATCTGTAATAATAAAATTATTATTATTATTTATTTAATTTAATAATAAATAATTTAAAGTTATATATATAATACTATTACCATTGAATCAATAAGAAAAGATAATATTTCATAAGTTTGATATGCTAAAAAATTACGATCATTTGAAAAAATTCCTTTATATTTATTTGCTACATCTTGAATAAATTGTTTTCACATTTTTAGAAAAAAACTACCCATCATAACCATTTTGATTCTTTTATGATTAAAAATATCTCGATTAAGATATGAATCTATCAACTCTCCTTTCAAAATAATAAAATAATAATAATTTAATAATTAATAAATTAATTTTTGTTATGAAATTAAACATAAATAAATTAATTTTAACTTACTAATAATGAACAAATAAATCAATAATCCCTTATTTTTAGAATCAGAATTTAAAGTTTGAGATACTTTGTATAAAAATTCGTGAGAAAAAAGCTGATATACAGTCCCATCGTCTTATTTATTAACATTTAAAACATTTGCATAATACAAAGCAGAGTTTGGTAATTTAGACAATTTTAATACATAACCAAAACTCAAGAAACTATTTTCAAAAGTTAGCATTCAAGCACCACTAAAAATACTATTTTGCCTATTTATTTTCGCATGCTTCAGATCTGAAATATAAACAATAGGACTAATATTCAGAATTACAGGATAATGTAATTTGATATTTAGATAAAAAGTCATTAATAATAAAGACAAAGAATTTATTACACAAATAAATAAATTACATACTGTATAATTCATCAGTAAATTCAAGCTTTGTTTCAGTATTAGTTTGCATAATACATTTTTGTGCTTTAATTTCTACTGATGCGTTATCAGCTTCAATTGATAATATATGAATTTTAAAATGAACGACAAGTTCTAAAACTTGATTGTGAATTTCATATACATCAGATATATTTTTGCTATTATTTGGAATAATTTCAAGTACAAATAGTGGTACTTTAGAAACTGAAACTTGTAAAATGTATATATAAATATATTTAGCTATTGTATTATTAGTTTGAATCTTTTTTACAATAGTATCAATTTCGTTATAAGAAGATACTAAAGTTTCTTGTAATGGCAATGTAGACCCAAGAATTACACCTAAACTTGCAGAGTAACATAATTTTTTTTCAAGTTTTGTATTATCTGTTGATGCTGCAATTAGTCTGTCATAATTAATGCTAATTAGAAATTTTCTAAATTTAGTCATATTTTCAAAATATATTGACAAATCATCAATTGCTAAATCAGATTGAACACATTGTACATTAAATTAAAAATAAATTAAAGTTAAAATTTCACAATACATATATAACAAACAAAATAAAACATTTGTAAAAATAACTTTATTTATAAAATTCGATTTTATTTTTCTTTTCATGAATGC